CGAGATGGAGCTGAACATTTAGGGGTCTTTTCCCCATCTGATCTTTTTTTTTTTGTCTTCTTCACACCCACTGTCTCCCCAGAGAACGTGAAACATCTCAATTTCTCGTCAGCGCTCTCGTTCACCGGCTGATTGAAACAGAGTTGCCTGAGACTAAAAGCGTTGCGGCGACCTGCAGTCGACCTGGAAACTATGGATCAGGGTGAATTGGAAGGGAAAAAGAAGAAAGATATCAGGTGGAAGGAGGGAAGAAGTGAGGCGGAGTGGTGAAGAGATGGAGAGAATGAACTCAGAGAATTTTCTTGGCAGTTGCGGAGCTGTTAGTCGGCCTCATGCCTGAGGTGATCCGGCTCCAAAAGAGAGCGGGAGCGGGAGAGATTTTAGGGAGACCCAGTGACATTTCCAATTACCATCAGTTCTTTCACTGTAAACTAGACCCAGTGGTTCAGGCCTGAAATGTGGCGCTTCCACACGGGCAAGGAGTCGTAGGCGCTTCTCTGTCAGTCCATAATTACAGGCACAGGCCTCATGATAGTGACATGTAACAAATGTGCGACGGAGACCCTGAACTCTGGGCCATTTGAATTCAGTCAAATGTGTCGGTTTTAAACAGAGGGATTTTTAAATTGAAAGTAGTGCTGGATTGTAGAAACTGAATTTAGTCTGAGATACTGCTCCAACATATTCAATACATTAATACATACTGGCAAGTATATGTACATCAAAATGCATATGTATGCTTCTTTACATACTATGGGATATTTGACCCCTAAGATACTAATGAATAACATCCATAGTTTTTATTGTTACTGATATTCTCCCTTGGAGAAAAACCCAACCGTTGACCTCTACAGGTGTTTTCACGTCATACATGTACAGGTTTTTTATGCTTGTCATGTAAGTAAAGAGATCAGAGATCATACCTGACATGTTTACTGTTACAGCAATGACAAAGTAGCGCAGTAGCTGTACTACTGTCTTACAAAGGAAGGGAATCCTGTCCAAGAGCCAAAACTTGCACAACTACTAGCTTTTTAATGCGTTATGAGCTGTAAAGGCTAGAGCAGGCATGGGAAAACTATGGCCCAGGGGCCAGATGTGGCCCATTTGGCTTTTTAATCCGGCCTGCCAAACATGTCCAATGTTGGACAATGTAATTAGTTTATATTATCTTTATATGTTTGCCTTTTTCTGCAGTGCTCGTATTTCCCCGATCGCTGACTTAGAATGGCTAAAGCATTTTAGCCTTTATGCATGACTCTTACATAAGTGTCATGACCCACTGCGGCACATAAGTCAAAAAGTTCGCCCACGCCTGGGCAACATTTAATTTGTGTCAATATTACTTTTAAAACATTCCCACATGGGGAATGGGCAGTGGTGGCTTAGTGGTTAAGGAAGCGGGCTTGGGTCCAGAAGGTTCGAGTCCACTAGCTGCCACTGAGGTGCTCTGAGCCCCACAAACTGCTCCCCGGGCGCTTAAAGCTGCCCACTGTTTGGTGATGGGTTAAAAACAGAGGTCACATTTGGTTGTGTTCTGTGTCACAAGTAGGTCACTTTCCTTTCCTATACTATACTATAAAGGCATTTAGATTTCTATTAACAAGCTCACTGCAGATTTTGCTACAGAAATAGGATTCCATTTCATAACTTTTCTATGCCTGGTCAGATGTAATCGCTGAGTCAGCGTGGGCTGCTTAAGAGGAAGGAAGGAAAAACCAAGTGTGGTTAAAGTGGGTCACTTCAGAGTGCAGTGGGTGAGGAGAAACCTGGCGATGGATCCGAGTGAGAGTGAATGTCAGTGAGACTGAGCTGAGAGGAAGTCAATGATGTACTTAACCAAAAACCCCTGGAAGAAACGGCGACGAGGTGCAGCCAGACAGATGGGAAGAGGTGGGAAAAACGGTGGGAGAGAATAAAAACGGTGCTGAAAAAGTCAATAATGTACTTAACCTTACTAACAGACGCCCTGCTCCCATGTTTTTGTAAGGGAGGGATGACGGCGTTGATGGTAGAATATTGTCAGAGGCAGCGAAGCGCTGCTTTGTTCTTCCGTCGGCATAAACGTCAGTGTAGTGGAGTGTGTGCAGAGTGACAGTGAAGGCCCCGGTACTGGACGAGTCACATAGAACAGGGAATAGTCAAGTTTTACGGTTGCATAAACCCCCCTCCCGCATGGTGATCCCCTCCCCTCCTCTTCCTCTCCCTCCCTCCTTCCTCCTTCTCCTGCCTCTCCTTATTCTTTTTTATTTTTACCTCCTCCTCCTTGAGTTCCCTGACTTACTAGTCAACAGTAAGAAGCCTATATGTGCCTCGGCATCCTTTATAGATCCATTTATCTCTTGTTAAGACTCTCTTGTTTAACCTTTGACCTCCCCGTTTCCCCAGAGTCCTAAGGGCCAAAGATTAAACCAACTAAAGACTCTTCCCTTTTTTTTCTTTTCCAGTGGCATTTTCTTTCCTTTTCAACACTTCAGATTATAATAATACTTGGCATGTTCTCACCAGGGGTGTCAAAATATTGAGTTATCCAGTTTGCTCTCAATTCTGTAGAATTCTAGATGCCAAAATATGCTGCCAAAATATGTACAATCATAACATAATCATAAATCCATGTTTTTCTCCTTTGTTTTCATGCAAATAAGTACAACTTTATTAGAAAATATGAAGTGTTTGTGCATTTTTTCACTTTCAAAATTCAATAAGCGGGCCAGATTAAATCCACCAGTGGGCCAGTTTTGGCCTGCGGGCCGTATGCTTGGCACCCATGCTTTAAAATCATTAAGTCCAATCCATTCATTCTGTGAGTGTAGGTTTACCAGTCCGTCCATGAACCACATGTAAAGACAAACATCATTCAGACTTGCATTTACACTGATGGTCAGTGTACTCCTCTGACCTTTAACCTGTTTTTGGACTAAGGAAACAGAAGTACCTGGGGAAACGAGTCCACTAGCTGCCACTGAGGTGCTCTGAGCCCCACAAACTGCTCCCCGGGCGCTTAAAGCTGCCCACTGTTTGGTGATGGGTTAAAAACAGAGGTCACATTTGGTTGTGTTCTGTGTCACAAGTAGGTCACTTTCCTTTCCTATACTATACTATAAAGGCATTTAGATTTCTATTAACAAGCTCGCTGCAGATTTTGCTACAGAAATAGGATTCCATTTCATAACTTTTCTATGCCTGGTCAGATGTAATCGCTGAGTCAGCGTGGGCTGCTTAAGAGGAAGGAAGGAAAAACCAAGTGTGGTTAAAGTGGGTCACTTCAGAGTGCAGTGGGTGAGGAGAAACCTGGCGATGGATCCGAGTGAGAGTGAATGTCAGTGAGACTGAGCTGAGAGGAAGTCAATGATGTACTTAACCAAAAACCCCTGGAAGAAACGGCGACGAGGTGCAGCCAGACAGATGGGAAGAGGTGGGAAAAACGGTGGGAGAGAATAAAAACGGTGCTGAAAAAGTCAATAATGTACTTAACCTTACTAACAGACGCCCTGCTCCCATGTTTTTGTAAGGGAGGGATGACGGCGTTGATGGTAGAATATTGTCAGAGGCAGCGAAGCGCTGCTTTGTTCTTCCGTCGGCATAAACGTCAGTGTAGTGGAGTGTGTGCAGAGTGACAGTGAAGGCCCCGGTACTGGACGAGTCACATAGAACAGGGAATAGTCAAGTTTTACGGTTGCATAAATCTCCCTTCCGCATGGTGATCCCCTCACCTCCTCTTCCTCTTCCTCCCTCCTTCCTCCTTTCCCTGCCTCTCCTTATTCTTTTTTATTTTTACCTCCTCCTCCTTGAGTTCCCTGACTTACTAGTCAACAGTAAGAAGCCTATATGTGCCTCGGCATCCTTTATAGATCCATTTATCTCTTGTTAAGACTCTCTTGTTTAACCTTTGACCTCCCCGTTTCCCCAGAGTCCTAAGGGCCAAAGATTAAACCAACTAAAGACTCTTCCCTTTTTTTTCTTTTCCAGTGGCATTTTCTTTCCTTTTCAACACTTCAGATTATAATAATACTTGGCATGTTCTCACCAGGGGTGTCAAAATATTGAGTTATCCAGTTTGCTCTCAATTCTGTAGAATTCTAGATGCCAAAATATGCTGCCAAAATATGTACAATCATAACATAATCATAAATCCATGTTTTTCTCCTTTGTTTTCATGCAAATAAGTACAACTTTATTAGAAAATATGAAGTGTTTGTGCATTTTTTCACTTTCAAAATTCAATAAGCGGGCCAGATTAAATCCACCAGTGGGCCAGTTTTGGCCTGCGGGCCGTATGCTTGGCACCCATGCTTTAAAATCATTAAGTCCAATCCATTCATTCTGTGAGTGTAGGTTTACCAGTCCGTCCATGAACCACATGTAAAGACAAACATCATTCAGACTTGCATTTACACTGATGGTCAGTGTACTCCTCTGACCTTTAACCTGTTTTTGGACTTAGGAAACAGAAGTACCTGGGGAAAAAAAACACATAAGGTGCAAACTCCATACAAAAAGACCATCAGTTAGAGTGAGGGGCAAGAGAACTTACCCCCATCCATGGTGTGGCTTCCTTAATATTTACCCAGAATTCTTTTGTCTGCTACTCATGCTTGTACAAAGTCTCAAGAATTTCACACCAGATGGCTGAAAGACAACTTTTAGCCAAGAAACTCAAGACTAGTGAATACAGCTGTACCATGGGACGACAACAGTGACTCCTACTGTACGTGAAGAAGTAGCATTGTATCATTGCAGGGCTCTCAGTGTGTCAGCGTCACTAATATATAATGGTTACGGAGTGGGCTCACTCTGGCAGCGCGCCTGCTGAAGGCTTTGACAGATGGGTGCCATCAGCACATTATTTCATTAACACTTGTGTTTTCATGGTGAACATCTTCTTACTCGTCACTTTTCTCTCCCCTCCTCCCCACCCTCCCCCCGTCTCCCCCCATCCT